CCTACTCCTCCAACCTCCCTCCCTCCCTCCCCCGCCTACCTCCCTCCTCCCCCTCCTCCCTCCTCCTCCCTCCCCCTCCCCCTCCCCTCCCCCTCCCCCTCCCCCTCCCCTCCCCCTCCCCTCCCCTCCCCTCACCCCCCTCCACCACTCACCCCACCTCTTCTCTGCTCCCTCCCCCCACCTGATTACCAGCCGCCTTCCTTCTCCCCGTCCCTCACAGCTGCCATAATCATTTCTTCATGTGCCAGCACTTATGGACCTTCCGCACTTACAGTGCATCTTCTGCCGTCTTTCCTCACTCGCTGTCTCTGCCCTCTCTCAGCCCCTCAGCATCTGGTTGAGCGAGGAAGAGGACGAAAGACGACTGAGCTCGAGCAAGGGAGTCGCATGCCTTAGGAAACGAGACATGCCGAGAAGCTCATGGGGTCTTGTACAGTCTTGATTCAGCAGTAAACCTGCCTTCCTCCTGTTTTCCTCTCACCTCCTCGAAACTCTTTCCTTACCCCCTCTCGTTATGTTCTGCTGCTTGACAGCTCTGACGGGTCTGAGCCACCTGCTGGAGGAAGAGAGCGCAGCAGTAAGGTGCCCTTGACATCGATGGAGCTCCTCCAGCACCCTCTCACTCAGCTCCAGCTCCCGTGCTGTCATCTGATTTGCCAGCCCCTCCTCTCCCTCCCCCTTCCCCTCCTCCTTCTCCTTATTTCTAACAATGCTTCCAAGCTCGACCACGGCATTGAGGGCATGGAGGAAGTAGAGCTTGAAGACGTTCAGATCCCCTGACTTCTCCTTGCTGCTCACAAAGGAGAGGAGAAAATAACATGTCAGCGATCGAGGCCAGGAATGAGATCACGGTACGTAGATGAACATAGAGATGAGACAGGAGACGGGAGCGAGGAGGAGAGGAGGAGAGAGGAGAGGAGGAGAGGAGGAGAGAGGAGAGAGGAGAGGAGGAGAGGTAGCAAATTTTCAAACTTGTAGACCCCAAGGACCTTTCAGGAAGGTTGGAACAGCTTGACAAAGTGAACAACGGAGCAGGACACGATGAAAGTTGAGGCGAGGGGGGGGGGGGAGAGGCTGACAGCAAGTCGTTTACCTGCTGCAGAATTCGTTGATCCTGTGGACCTCGCTTGTCGTGCATGCGAATCTGATGAGAAGCTCGAACCCCCTCACGTCAATGATGTCCTCACGTCCTGAGGAGGAGAAGAAGGTACTGAAGGAGGGAGGAAGGGACCTTGGTATGACCACAGGAGGCGAAAAGTCCAGCTGCTTCATCCTCTCTTTCAGCTCCTCGTAGGTCAGCCAGTGCTTGTCCTCCGCTCGCAGCGCCTCCCACATGTCCGAGATCAGTTGCGCCATGCGAGTGAGGCGGCTCTGGGGGAGACAAGGCTCAGGAGAGTTGAGCAGAGAAGGAGAGAAGAGAGAAGGAGAGACTAGAGGAGGGGCGGGAGCTGCTGAGGAGGGAAGGAGAGAAGAGAGAAGGAGAAACTGGAGCAAGGCAGGGAGCTACCTGGTCTCCAACCACGTCCTCCTGGATGATCTTTAGCGATACTTGGTAGAGGGGATTCTTAGCAACATGTTGTAGATCGATGTACTTTGAGTCTGAAGCACAAGACTCCTGCGCCATTCTTCCTTTGAACAGCAGGAAGTTGTTGATCAAGACAGCGCTCTGGTCGAACATTAGCATCTTTGAGACTTGTACCTCACATGCTTACAACGAGGCTGAGGAGGGTAAAAGCTATGATCAACTGCAAAGACCATGTTACTGAATGAGGGAACAAATGTATAGACGTACTTGCCTGGAACAAGATGAAGAGTACTTTTGCAAGTGCAGAGTTTCCTCCATTGTCCTCCACTTCCCGCACAATACTTGTCCAGTCATCAAAGGTACTGATCTGTGGGAAGGGAAACGAGACGAAAGCGGCGGAAACAGAAACAAACAGGGCGAGTATATAGGACATGAGGAAAGACAGCGGAGTCAAGATCAAGGGAGAGGAGATGGGAGAAGAGGAGAGAGGACGAGGGAAAACAGTAGGAAGATTGAGATGTCATAAACTATCGCAAGACAATGAAACGACAAACTTGGAAAAGCGTGAAGAGAGCTTCGCTAAAGGTCTGCAATGTAAACCAGTGACTTGGTAACGGCAAACTATCAAGGACATATGATGAATGTGGGGGCAAATTCAAGAACAATCATAGAACAACAGCTGAATGGAAAATTAACGAGAGGAGAAGCAGGACAAATAAGCCGGCAAAAAGGACGCGGAACAAGGAGCAAAAGGAGGAAGATGGTAGCGATGAACCTCCAAACGTGGCGAGTCAGCAGCAAACAGATTCACCTGAGAATCACAGAGCAAGATATCACTTCATATCCTCCCTTTCCCTTCCCCTCCCCTTCCCCCTCCCCCTTCCCTTTCCCCTTCTCACCACGAGGATGGCGAAGATACCGTACACCATGACAGTCACGAGCAAGGTACTGCCCATCTCCGGCACGGCCATGCGGATCGCGTGTACGATGTAGCCGAACCCCCGGTAGACGTCGACCATCTTGAGCAGCCGGATTGTTCTGATGAGAGGCATGGCCGTCCAGAAGTTGGAGGAGGAAGAGGCAGTGACGTAGTTGATGGATGCCCAGCTCAATGAGACCTGAAGAGGTTCAACGGAGAGGTGGGAAGCAAAGTGGGGACAGAAGAGCAGAGGTGAATGTAGCGAAAGTCAGCAATGATAGAGGAAGGGGAGGGGGGAGGGGAGGGGGGAGGCGGCGGAGAAGGAGGAGCAGGTACCATGACGATATCAAACACGTTCCAAAAGTCTGCAAGGCAGCACAGGCAAGCAGTCAGCGTCTAGAAGGGTTCCTCCATCGCCTATCACGCAGCATAGCAAGGAACTCTCAGACAAGAAGGGGCTGAAGGACTTACCAGACAGGTAGATGAAGACTCTATGACAGTCCATGCAGCTATATAACGATGTGCAGACGTCGAAGGTAAAGAAGACGGAGAAAGCGATGTAGATTTGAGTGAACGTCCGTTGGATTTCTTCGGGGGTCTGAAAGTAGGAAAGAAAGACAACTTCGACTACATTGCCAGCAAAGTAAGTTATGAGCACGGCGCAGTTGAGCCATCTCCTCGAGAACCCGTTGTAGTACTCCCAGCACTGGCAGTCAAGACATGTCTCAGTGAGATCGAATGACAGTCAAGAGCTCCAAGATTCTCACCCGGTTCTGCCAGAACCTCAGGGCGCCAGTGGGTCGAGGTAACGACTCTTGTCTCTCCATGAGCCTCCTGATCGCGCCGCTCCAACGCTCAGCGTCCTCATCCTGTCTCACGTGTCAGCACAGGACGAGAGAACATTCGATGGTGAGCCACGTTGTTGCATGTTACTGTCACAATCTGACGCGGTCGGATGCCATAGTTGTCACCATAGAGCTGCTCGACTCATGTCAGATCATCACATCCACCCGGCACAACACATTGCCCACATGTTCTGCCATGAACAAGATGAAAACGTTTTCTTCCACAGGCATGTTGATATCGTGATGCTGTTTGCCGTGTAGGTGGTGATAGAACACCGAGTCTGACGTCCAGACGCTCTGAATGGTCGAGATTGGGATAACGTGCTTGACTGAGGTCCTCCATCTGCTGTTGCCGTTCGGGTGAATGGTCAAGTTCTGGCAGGTGAGGAAAGCTTCATATCTATCCACGGTTTGTTGAGAGTGAAAGACCCTCCGCCATGTCCTCGACGGCCAGGTCGACATTGGAACAGGTTCTGTACCTGTCGTTGATGGGTTGCGATGGAGAGCGTTATGACTTTCCCTCCTCTCACGCCCCTCAACAACATGATCGATCTGTCCTGCACTCGAGGGGCTCAGATCAGCTGCACTCGCTCTCTCCATGGCTGCCGAGCCATGCCGTGCTTTGTCCGTCAGTCCATTCTCGGCAGAGTGCTGTCGGCAAGAGGAAGGCTCTCCCCTCATCAAGTTCTGCCAGCATGTCGCATCCTGCTTCACTTTCTTGCTCCATGTCTTGTTGTCGTTCTCCCTCCTCACCATCACCTCTCCCTTCATGATCCCTGTTCCGTCGTCCCTCCACCATGACATCTGTCAACCTCGGATATCCGAGTCGTCTCAACCCCACCCTCATTCCTGGACCCACCCTACCCCCTCCGTCCCCCAGTTTAACACCCGGTGACCCGGCCGGGCCCGGCGACCGTTTTCCCGGCGATGGCAGCGGGCCCGGCCATCAGAAATCCGACTGAGTATCGTATGAGGGCGATGAGATTCGGGAAATGGAGGATGGGCACCCTGTAGGAAGAGGGAAGGGAGGTAGGAGGATGGAGATGAGACAGGCGGGCGAACAGGAGGGAGGCAATGAGGGAGGCAAAGGGGGAGCGAGGGAGCGAGCGAAGGAGCGAGCGAAGGAGCGAGGGAGGGACGGAGGGACGGAGCGAGGATGGGCTCAGTAGTGATTGTGAATCTCCGTGTCCCTTATCTCACTGTCTTAGGTTCATGTGGCCATGGCAGCCGGTGCCGATTGATCGGTGAGCCAACGATCATGGCAGTGAAAGGCCGTCTGACGTTTGAGAAGCTTCCAGGAGCTCGCTCGCTCTGTTCTGCAGCAGGCGAACTTTTATGCTAGCACCCTGGATGACAAGGGTATACTGGCAACAGATGACCTCTGGACAGACAGTCACAAAGGTGACAAGTCATGTTGTGAAAAAAGTTGCGTTCACACTTATCTAACTCGTTCTCCACAGACCCTGCGCATGGAAGCCCTGGCGAGGGGGAGAGCGCACAGACTGCTGAGGATGTGGAGGATGAGACGGCGAGGGGTACAACGCAAAGACGCGTCGACGGGACTGCGATGTCCTCCCCTGCTCCTCCCAGCCCAGCAACGCCGAAGGGGCCGAAACAGAAGAGGTTAGGAGAGATGAATCTGGTGGAGATATATTGTAGAAGGAAGGAGCCACAGTAGAGGAGGAGAACGTAGCGAGGACGAGCAATTGAGAGAGTTAGGGAGGGGAGAGGCTGGAGGCCGCAGGTAGCTGTGGAGCTGGCTGACGGTCGTCTTCAGGCAGCGTCTGCGGTACTACAAGCCCAAGAACTTTGCCCTGACGTCTGCGAGAACTAGCGAGCAGCATGTTGCCTCTGCTGGAGAGCCGACGGAGGTGCCGCATGCCTGCAACGAAACGGTGATCACCGTTCAGATCGATCATCGGAACAAGGACCTCAAGGTAGCTTGCGAAGGGAGGGGAAGGCAGGAAGAGAAGTGACAGCTCGCTCGTCAGGTGTTGGAGTACGAGGTGCTAGGTTCGCAGCCCATGTCACAACTGATCGGTGAGAACATGCCGACATCAAACTCTCGTCTTCACTCTCTCACTCTCTCACTCTCTCTCTCGCCTCCTCTCCTTGCCTCTCTCCATGCTCCCCCCCTCCTCTTCCTCCTCCTCCTCTAGATCAGATCTCGAAGACCGAAGGATGGTGTCTAACAGCTACTATGGAGGATGAAGGTGCCCCCTGTTTGCCCTGTCCCCTTGTCCTCCCTCCCATCTACCACATACTTCTCCCTCGCTCCCCTCTCTCTCTTCTTCGCTCACTCCTTCTCCCTTTCTCTTCTTCGCTCCCTCCTTCTCCCTCTCTCTTCTTCGCTCCCTCCTTCTCCCTCTTTCTTGTTCCGCACTCTCCTTTGCTCTCGCTCTCTTCCCGTCTCCTCTTCTCCCATGTCTCTCTCTGCTCTTTCCACCCACCTTGCAACAATCATGCTACGAATCGCGTCCTTACATCCTCCTCGTCCCCTGGGGGCTGCAGACAGTAGAAAGCTCCCCTCTTTCGTCTTCGTGGAAGACGTCTTCTACGTGGATTCTCGTCAACCCGCCCACCAGGACTTCACCTCCCGCATCCTGCACAAGTTTGTGGACGAGGTTAAGCACAGGGTGAGCTGACAGGTCGTCTCTCATCGCTCTGACAAGTTGCAAGCAACGCCGAGCTGTCAGGGTCGCAGAGCTGGACAGAACTCAGTTCTCCTCCCTCAGCGTCGCCGTAGGCAGGAAGTACCTCTTCTGCCATGGAGGGCGCTGCGAGCACGCGGTAAGCTCTAGAGTCTGAGCTCCCCAGCTGCTGACAACCCCGGCAGATCACGTTCTCGCAGCTGGAGGGCAGGTGGGTCTCGCCTTCAGATCGGGGTGAGCAAGGGGGTAGGGGGGCTGCTAACCCGACGTGACACGTCAAGTGCTCCAGAGAAGTTCCCGAGGGAGGTGTGGAGGACAAGGCCGTTTGCCCGCAGATGTCAAACTTGTGACAAGCGGACTGCTGGGATCGTCACATACGCCGACAGAATGAGCAAGGAGACCCCAGGTGGAGCTCAGCTGGGAAGAGACTTCTGACATGTTTGACAAGCCCGGCAGGATTCTTCTGCCGAGAGTGCTTCAGCTCGGCTCACCCTCCTGCTGGGGTCGGAGCTCAGCAGGAGGAGCAGGAGGAGCAGGAGATTTTGCGGTTGCGAAGTTACCCGTACATTCACGATGACTGAGGAGACCTGACCTGAACGTTCTCCTCCCTCCTGCTCTCCTTCCTTCCCCTCTTACATTCACTCTTGCCCCTCCTCCCTGCGTCTCGTGCCTTGCCTCCTCTACATCACAGCTCTCTTCTTCTGATCGGAACGGAACGATCGACATCTTCCCGCCCTCCCATCAAACTATCCCAGTCAGCGAGCTCTGCTGCTCCCGCTGCACCACAGCCATGAGCGAGAGCCAGGGCAAGAGGAGGAGGAGGCAGAAGGAAGAGGGACGGGTGAAAGTACAGAAGAGCAGTACGAGGAGCAATGAAGGGGGAAAAGAAGGCAGGCAGGCAGGCAGGCAGGCAGGCAGGCACGCAGGCAGGCAGGCACGCAGGCAGGCAGGCAGGCAGGCAGGCAGGAGACGGGCTCTACCTTCGCAGAAGAGTCTGATCCACTCACGTGCTAGGCTGTCACTGCGGGGGCAGAGCACTGCAAGAGACGCTCGCTTGTGAGTGGCAGGAGACGCGAGTAACATCAAGGGTGGACGAAGAAGACGAGGGCGAGGGCGAGGGCGAGGGCGAGGACGAGGACGAGGACGAGGACGAGGACGAGGACGAGGACGAGGACGAGGACGAGGACGAGGACGAGGAGCAACTCATGCTTGACCTTGTCGCTGATCGTCATCAGAGCTCAAAAGGAGGATGGTCCTCCGGTCCTGCACAAATGGACGCGATGAGAAGAGCCAAGGGGTGGGGGAGGAGGGAGTCCAGGAGGAGGAGCAGGAAGGGAGCAGGACGAGGAATGAGGAGGAAAGGAGGGACCTGAGGATTCACTGCCAACTTTGACGATCGGATGAGCAGGCAGCGCTCGTCTCCTGTGTAGGAAACCGGTCAGAGTTGCTCCTCCTCCCCTCCACTTCATCTCCTCACTTCCTAACACTCAACCTCCTCCCCCTGCCTCCTCCTGCTACCTGCAACGAAGGGAGGAAATTCTTCAATCTCAACAGACGATATGTGCAAGGCCTTTTCAAGGGTCAAGCTGGAGAAGGTGAGAAGGAGGCGCAAACTTGACTGTAGGGATCGAAGATGATGAAGCCCGTCTTCCAAGAGCCCGAGGAGGCGGAGGTGGGGGAGGAGGTCTGGTGAGCAAGTTAGATCGTTCGAGAGGAGAGGAGAGGAGAGGAGAGGAGAGGAGAGGAGAGGAGAGGAGAGGAGAGGAGAGGAGAGGAGAGGAGAGGAGAGGAGAGGAGAGGAGAGGACAAGACGAAAATGTTTTTTGGTGGGCAAGAGAAAGGAGGAACAGGAAACAGAGAGGTGAAAAGAAGGGGCAGGGGAAGGCAAGGCGAGCAGCTAACCCCTCTGCTGGGCAGCCAGACTTGATCCCTGTAGAAGGGCTTCGTCGCTCCCTCATGCACCGTTACCACGGCACATCCGATCTGAAGCATCGCCGCCTCCCCTGCTGACGTGTCAAACATCTCCAGCTGGAACGGAGCTGACCTGATTCCGATTTGACAAGGTGGCCACTCTGGTTTCTCAGCTCGTACCAGCCGGCCTCTCGTCCCTTCCTGACCACCCGCTGCGACAGTTCAGGAGGGAGGAGGAGGAGGAGGAGAAGAACATACATTGAGAGGGATGGCAACTCGTCCGATCAGCTCCCTCCCTGAAGGAAGAGAGTTAGCGGACAGAATGGATGCAGGAAGAGGCAGAGGATGAGAAGAAGGTGGTATGGAGGATGAGAATGGTGAAGGGGGGAGGGGAGAGGAGGTGCGAAGAAAGAATGGTGTGCTGGGGGAGGGGTCAAGACAAGGGAGAGTTTGAGGGTTGCAACGAAGGACGAGGAGGAGAACTCACGAGAAGTTTTGATGAGGTCAAAGAGAACGAGGTCCTGCCCATCGTGCTCGTCAAGTTCAACGAAGATTCCCCTCCTCTCTCCTCTCTCTTCCCTCTTCCCTCCTCCCTCTTCCCTCCTCCCTCCTCCCTCCTCCCTCCTCCCTCCTCTCTCCACCACCTAATCATTCTCCGCCTCCTCCTCCAAAGCATTCCTTCTTCTCTTCCTCCCTTTTCCTCCTTCCCCCCTCCCCTGTTCCTCTACCTTATTCGGGTCTTCGGAAGGAAGTCTGAAGTGAGCATGCCACTCTAGCTTGCCCGCCACGCTTGCCCTGAGTGACGTCAGCACAGAGACCTGCAGGAGATGAACGCAGCAAAGAGGGAGTATGTGAGAGATGGGGGGGCAGGAGGCAGGAGAGAAGCATGGAGAAGAAGAGTTGAAGGAGGGAGGGGACGGGGAAGGGGAAGGGGAAGGGGAAGGGGAAGGGGAAGGGGAAAGGCAGGGAGGAGGGGGGCACCTTGTGCGGGCCATCTGTCCCTGCAAGTTGACCTCGACCGCGATGTTCTGCCATTGCGGTCACTGCAAAAGGAGCAGGAGGCGAACTGACCTCGTTGAACCTCTCTGGGAGGTTCCTTGCTGACACCACATACACCTCTGTCAGCCCCCGGACCTCTCTCCTCCCCAAAGTTGCGATCCTCTCCTCGTTCCATCGCTGCTCAAGACGAGGAGGAGACGGCGACGTGTCGGACGGGACTGGTCTTGCTGACAGGGGCTCTTCGTGTGTGGAGCTCCCGTCCTGTCCTGATTTACTCTCCGCCTCCTCCTCGTCTGAAGTCTCAGGGCGTTGACTCGGGACGAACTTGGGAATCTGGGAGAGCTGATAGCGAGCCTCTCTTGCGGCCTCGTTGCCCTCTTTTGGACTCTGAGGCAGACCAGCAGGCGAATCCCTGCCGTTGACAGGCCGGTTCTCCTCCCCTTGTGCTGGGGAAGCTCCTTTCCTGAAGGAGACAAGGCGGTCGAGGGCTCGCAGTCGCTTGTCCTTGAGGTCTTGTTGCCGAAGGCTCAGCGCTCTGCATGTTCGTCAGTCAGCAAGGGCCCAAAAGGAGCCTCTTTACCTTCTCAGCTCCTCCAGGCTTTCCATCTCGGACTGGCGCTCCCTCTCCAGCTGCGACTTGGCTGCCTTGACACCCTCCAGCTCGCCTCCCACCTGAGCGAGAGACGTCTGCAGGCGCTTCACGGTCTCTGTCAGCTGGGCTGCATGAGCCTTGGCCTGCATGCTCTCCTCGTTTGCATGCTCTGTGGAACGAAAGGCGTGTCCTGAGAGCACATGTCATGCCGAGAAGCCCCTCATGACTGCTTACCTGCTTCTTTCCGCGCTTTCTCCCTTGACTCCGTGAGGGATTGGATCTCCTCCCTCAGAGACTGGACGAGCCTCTCCCTCTCTGTCCTCTCCGCTTGAAGATCTAGCTGCAAGGTCCTGTTCTTGCTCTGGAGCTCAGAGTCTTTGGTTTCCAGCTCGAGGACTCTGCGTTCAAGTTCAGCCTTCTTGCGTTGTGCCTCCTCCCGGAATCTGTTGAAACTCTTTCTCTCCTCTTCGAGACAGGACGCCTGGTAGTTTCGCTCGTTCTCACATTGGCGTAGTTGTGCCTTGATCACAACCCATGTCAGCCTCGCCACAAGTCAACGTCATGTACTTACTCTCAGTCCCTCCACCTCTCGATCCAGTCGGGTCGCTTTCTCGGCTGCTTCTCTCTCTGCCTCTCGGACCTCCTGAGTTCTCCCCTGCGCCGTCCGCAACGCCTCACTGTAACTCCTCTCGATATCCTCGATCGCATGTGACTTTGACTGGCTGATTCTATCGATGTCCTCGCCATGCCGCCTTCTCATCTCTTCCATCTCCTTCAGCAACGCATCCTCCCGCTCGCTGGACTTCTTCTTCAGAACTTCCATGGCAGATTTGAGCGCCTCGAGCTCCATGCCCCTTCTTCCGTCAGCTTCTCTCAGTCGCAGCAAACTCTTCTGATGCTCCGCAAGGGCCCCTTCCATCTTCACTTTCGCTTCCTGCAACGATCGTTTCTCTGTTATGGAAGTTGATAGCGCCGAGAGGATCTGGTGCAGACTCTTCTCTGCCTCCTCGCATTCTGACGCGTCGCTCATCGCGGCGCCTCCTCCCCCCTCTCCAGGCTCCTCCTGCAACCCCAGCATTACTGAGTCCGTCATCTTGAAAAGCCTCGACGGTTGTAAAAAAAAATTGACCGTAAAAAAACTTTGACTGCCTTTGACTAACCGGTAGTAAAACGGCACGGTAGCCCGGCCCGGCGGTCCGAGGCTCCGCCGAGCCTGGGAGCCCGGAACTCACTCGGAGTGGCACTGCGGCCCGGTCTCGAGTCAGCCTCCTACTTAGGCTTGCAACAGAGTCACTCAGCGTCAGTCCGCCCCCCGGCCCGCCGCCCCTGAGCCGGCCGCGGGCGGCGCGTCCGTGACTGTCAAACGTGACTGAGGGCATTGGGCATAATTGTGCCGGGATGGGTTCAACGGTTGGCAAAGGCCCCAGTGATGCTCGTTGTGAACTTCCGAAGTTCCGACCGACAGTGATCGGCGCGGCGGCGGCAGGCAGTGACTCACGGTCCGATCAGGGCCCCCCGGTCAACTTCTGGTGGCCCGCCGGAGTCCGACCAGGCTCCGAGTCCCGGAGCCTGTCCGAACTTTCGGTAGTAGTAGTACTCAGGCTCAGGCTGGCAGGCCCGGTGGGCCCGGCGCGGCATCATCCGATTGTCCTCGTATAGAATTTTAACTTAATTTTGAGTGAAGAAGACGAGGCTAAACCGTAGTGCGACACGCGGCGTAATGTCATGATCCGCCGGAAGAGGTTTATCCGATTCACTGAGTCGGTTGCTGACAGTGTCTCTGTAGTAAATAAGTCTAACCGACTTTGCTGCACGGCTCGGTACTGTAGCGAGTTGCATAAATGATCACCCCCACCCAGTAGTCAATGAAGTGGGGTACAGTACGGTAGTATAGTGGGTGGTCCTCCCTGGCCAGGGGTCCTCCCGGTCCAGCAGGCAACTTGCCTTGATTACATTGAACCTGCCCTCGCTTTTTCATCTTCCTCGGAGTAGAAGTTCTTGAAAGCTTCACACGCATCCTATAGCAAGCCAATCTCTTCGTGCACTAGCCACCTTCGTCTTGGAACCATTGGTTCAATCCTTACTCTGCATCGGTTTCAATCAGTCCTCTAGTAGGACCAAGCATCTCGCATACTTCCTGAATCTTTGTGAACACAATGTCTCGTAACGACGTTGCTCTTCTACGCACCGTGAGGATAATCGAGTCTCAGAAAGTCTCATTTCACAGAAGGAGTTGTCAAGCCGGCCAACACGGTATCCGAATCACGAGCGACGGCAAGGAGTGTTTGGGAAATATCTTGAACGCGAGAACAAAGGTCACTTGGTCATAGGATTCCAAATGTACTGAATGCATTCTTGTTGTACCCACTTTGCCAAAGGGATAGAAAAAAGTAGCAATGACGAAAGTCCAGCATGGTAAAGAAACGTAGTTTGTTTTTCTTATCTTTGTATTATATTCAATGAGCATATGATTGTCGTTTCAGAATAAGAGACGATCTGAAACTTGATAAGAGGTGTATAAATAGAGTTTGAATGATATCAAACGGCCAACAATCACCCTGTACTATGATCTTCTTGTTGTCAGAATCCAACACGCGGCCTACCGTAGCGCTGTCAGTGTGTTGCGCTGTGTGGACTCAACTCCAACCTTGATCAAGTCATGCAGTGACAGCCTCACTCGGATGTAATTTTGGAATCGAAATGAACATCCTGTCTGACGGTGAAGAGCCTGTCTTGACATGATTGAACTTCCTGCATCACAATGTTGCGATCCGCACTTCGAGTCCCGCGGCTAGTGAGAGTCACGGTCGTTCCGAAGCAAGTTCAACCCGGACTGGCCGTGACGCCGCAGTCACCCGGACGCCCCGGGCCGGGGTCCCAGCCGGGCCGAGCCTCCGCCGAGTGGCGATACAGCGCCGTGACTGCCCCAGTAGCGGAGGCGGGCTTGCGGACCGTACTCAGATGCAACTTGGCAAGGGGGTGCTGACTTTCTTTACTCAAAGTTAAGTTAAAGATCAGTACGAGGACAATCCGATATGATCAGGAGAGTCGAGGAGGCTTGACCCTGACACTGTCGCACTGGCCAAACGGCGAGAAGAGAAAAGACAGCGAGAACCAAACCTAATCCTGCCAACTGCTGTCCCCAAACTTGCTGACTGCCCGTGACAGCCTTCCAAGTGACTCACTGTCACCCGATAGTTCACCAGCTGGTAGTGATTTTAACTTAACTTTGAGTAAAAGAGTTTACCAGCCCCTTCACTGACTCCTTTAGCTGAGTCCCTTTACGAGCCCTCAGTCAACCGCGCCGTGCCGCGGACTCCCGGAGCTCCGGGGAGTCCGGACGGAGCACCTGTAGCGGTCAAGTCCAGCTACGGGTCCGACCTGCAGGGAGCTGGTAGGGTAGGGTCACCGTCGGTCCCTCTGGTGTCCTCGACTCTTTACTACAGGCCGTGAGCTTACTTCGAGATTGGGATGAGATTCCAACAGTTATCAGGAGGTACCCCTCCATTCTACTGTTTGGATGAGTGGTAATGATGGGTGGGTACAGGACATGTCAGCTAAACCGAGCAAATCGCCCCTCCTGCCCTCCAACTCTTGAAGCTGCCAGCTGCTCTCCCGCCACACAGCAACTTCTCCGCTCCTCCTCACTCCACTCATTCTCTTCTCGTCTTCTCGTCTTCTCCTCTGACTGTCTTCCCCATCTCGCTCGCTCTATTTTCGTTCCTCCTTTCCCTCCTTCAACAGCAGTCTGTGTCGTAATCATGCTCGATCAAACCGTCGCCCCCTCGCGCACTGTGACACTGGTCGACATCCCTACGCGCAACTGCGTGAGAAACGCTTCGGAGACTAGAAGTGGAATCAGAGTTACCAGCGATGGCAAGCAGTGTCTAGGGAGTATCTTGAGCGCAAGAGCTACATGCGCAAGAATCTTGGAATCAAGGCGTAAACTTGAACCTCCCTGCACGCCCGGCCATTGCAGACAGCCCAAATCAGCAGCCGAACCCTGCTAATTGTTCATTTGTGAATAGCTAATGCGTTTTTCTGCTTCTCTTTCTTTTGTTATCTTATCATCGTGAAAAAAATCCTCTCAAAGTGAATCAATAAATGAATTCAACCAGAAAGAAACAAAAATTCCTCACTGTTCTGACACGGTCTTGTGGAGTGAAAGTTTTGCAGGAGTGCTGAAGATCAAGGTAATGGGTGGTCTATGACAACCAACACAGGCTCCTCATACACCACCTTTTGCCTCATGGCGGGCGGCTCAGTGACGAGACTGTCATGAATAAGCTTCTTGCAGACAAGGGATATGAATTGCCGGTCAGTTTTTACCGCCAGGAGGATCTATCATACAAGGGGCATCTGCGGCTTGGGTAGCAACCACGGCGACGTCTTGTTTTTGCTCAGAGAGCTCTGCGGAGGGACCACGTTGAACACAACGGTTGAGGAGGTTTCACCAACGGAATTCTCCGCAGTGACGGTGAAGGAGAGTGGATTAGGTTGACTGAAGTCGAACGTCTCGTCCAGCTGACCTCCGATGGAACCAGTCTGTGGGTCGAGCTTGATACCAGCTGGGAGTTTCGGGTGAATAGAAAAGCGGAGAGGAAAGGTCCCGGCCACATTGCTGGGGAAGGTCATCACAAACTTCCCGAGCGTCAGCTCTAGATTGGTAGTGTCGTACATCAGATCCCTCGGCTTCTCCATGACCTGCAGCTTGAAATTGACTGAGATGCTGCCGAAACGATTTGCAGCCTTGAGCTTGTAGCGCGTGAGGTCAACAAGCTTCATCGGGGTGCCAATGAGCTGAAAGCTGCGATCGTCCTGGCGGAGAATGCTGAGACCGTGGGGGAGCTCGGGGATAGTCGACAGGATGATCCTGCCAGCCCCCTGCACAGTGATGAGCACAGGAGGGATGGTCTTGCCTAGAGGAAACAAGAAGATGTGCTCCGTCTCCTGCAGGCTGTATGAGGCCACGTCGTTGACCTTGTGCAGCTCAAGGTGATGCGGGGCCTCATCCCCTTGCAGGTCTGGGAGCAGCGAGGGAACCTCGGACAGGGCGATCCTAGTCGGGGAGACAAGCGCGGCATCTGAGGCGAGATGGACCACTGCATCTCTCCCCCCGATGTAAACGAAGCCGTTGCACAGCAGGTGGACCCCGATGTTGCGATCTCTCTGGAGGGTGACAGCACATCGGTTGGGCCCCTGCTGGGACAGTCTCCATGCCCCGATGTTGGTGGATTTGCTCCAGTCATGCGAGCGGCTCCAGGAGAAGCTCATGTCGGCAGTTGCTCCTTGCTGGCTCTCCCCAGCGCGCGATGGTTTGACTCGCGTTGCAAACTGGAGCATGACTTGTCGCTGAACAGAGTCGAGGTCACGGGCTTCGAGGTCGCCGTCTTCCTCGAGTCTGTACTCATCGCCCTCGCTCGAGACCATGGCAACGGCTGTCGCCGATGAAGCCTCTGGCAGTAAGACCGCCATGCCCAGGTGGATGTGACGGAGGGCGACGTATCCTTTCGAGCTCTCTAGATCCCACACTTCACCGGCGATGCCATCCAGCATCACGTGCGGCGCGTAGGAGGACACGACCTCCTCGCTCTCCTGCTCCTTCTCATCAGATGCACCAGCTAGCGTATGAGCGAAGGGCGAGTCAGCCTGCACTCCTTGCTTCTCCAAGAGCGCATCTAGGACCCCCAGCGAGGAATCCGTTCCGACCCGTGTTGACCTGAGCAGCTTCAGCGTCGCCTCCAACTGAGTGGCCTGCACAGCAAAGTTCGAGCTGAGCACTCGGTTAGACGTGACGTCCTTGCCGCAGCTCATGGGGATGAAGCCATCGACTAGGATCATCGAGTCGTACACCTCCGACTTGAGGTTCCCACTCGAGCTCTGCCCTACTGAAGCGAGGGTCGCTCCTACTCCGCCGCTCCGCACACTCACGTCATACCTCACTGCCAGCCCCTGGAGGGACGCATCATCGCCACCCGCTCCCTCAGGAGAGCGCCCAAGTCCTCAAGGTTTGTCTGGGGGCGGATGTGTTGAGGAGCCTGGAGGAAGCAGTACGAGTCGATGGCGAAGTCCGTCTTGTCAGCAGAGAACTCGACGACGTGTAAGACGATCTCGTATCCGGTGTGATCGACCTCAACGATGCTCGAGGCGTTGAGATCAACCCTGCCCGAGAACGGCTTCTTCAACACCTCGACGTCCTTCTCCGCCGTCAGAGGATTCAACTGAGGCTCCCAGAACACTAGTGAGCTCCCCTCGACTTTGCACTTGACCAGATGTCTGATAGACTTCTTACCATGCCGCTTGTGTCGAAGAATGGACAACAACTTCGCGTTGGAAATGTCGTCTACGATGTCTGGCGAGTCGGAAATGTTGTGCTGTATGCTATCTTTGTCTCGTCGCAGAACATGGCTCACCGGCACGTACTGCCGCCTGCTCTTGTTCTTCTCATTTTGAATGTCTTGAAGCTTTAGCACCAAATAAAATTCTTCCCACGGCCCTGAATCTGCTGCGAGAAAGGCAGGATCAATCCGAGTAGACAGCGCGAGCATCAATAAACTCTTGAGAGGCTGCTAAAATCCTTGATAGCAATCTTGCCCTTGCTCTTATCTCCTCATCTCCCTCCTCCTCTTTTTCCTCGTTCCCTTCATCCTGCATCTCCTCCACTTCATCCCCCCTCCCTCCTCTCCCCCCTCCCTCCTCTGGCCTCACCTTCGTCCGCCGGGTCCATGGTGTCCATGGCGCCTCCTCATACACTGTTTGCGGGCAACTCCAATCCTTAGAGTTAGAAATGGGTACGAGGGGGGACGAGACCACTTTCAAGTTGAACCCATCGGAATCCGAGTCGGAAGTTTGACAATGCCCGAGGTATGGGAGCCGACGACGCCGCCAGGCAGCCCAGTGGAAGGAGCAGGCGATGCAGGAGGAGGAGGAGGAGGAGGAGGAGGAGGAGGGAGGGGAGGAGAGCGAGGAGGAGAGGGTGGAGGATCGGGAGACTCGATCCCAAACTTGGGACATAGCACGCAGTATTCGTCAAGGCAAGGCAACGGGCCTGATCAGACTGATGAAGGGGGGAGGGAGGAGGAGAAGAACGTTGCGCACGAAAGGCAGCGACATGCAAGGCTGGCAAAGAGAGTGGTAGACTGGTGGAAGGTGTACCAGCGACAGGAGACGAGAAACAGGAGAGCTCTTGAGGTTTTGATGACGAGGAGGAGGAAGAGGATAATTCAAAAGGCGATGGAAGACTGGAGCATACACAGAATCAGCCATGCTGTCATGGAGATACTTGATCAGAGCAGCAGCAGCGTGAAGGTACACTGAGAGGCTAGGAGGGGCTTCAATGCTGAGAGACCGTGCAGACAGGGAACGACGAGTACTTCCTCCCCCTCTTCCTTCTCCCTGCCGCTGGCGGTAGCCCGTTCCCTTCCGTTGGATCGGTCCTGCAGGGGTCGGATGCGGAGTCTCAGGGGGTGGAGGAGGGGGACTTGGTGATGTCGATCAAGGAGGGGGAGGAGGAGGTCAGCCTTGCGTCCTTCTCGGTGCAGGAGGCTGAGCAAATGATGGTCTCCTCTCCTCTTCCGCTCGTCCAACTTCGGATGCGACGGAAGGCAGGAAGTTCCTATCGTGTGACGATCAGAAAGATGCGATCCTCTGATCTCTTGTCCCACGCCTCCAGCAAGCTGCTGCTTGACCGCCTCCTCCGCGCCTTCCAACGGTTTCTAGCCCTCCCCACCCCGCCCCATCCCTTCTCACCCTTCCTCTCCTTTCCCCTCCCCTCCTCTCCTTTCCCCTCCCTCCCTCCTCCCCTTCAACACTTGGCTGATCTCATCCTACCATTTTTTGCTCTCCTCTTCCTCATCTCGTTTCCTCACTCTCCTCCTGTCTCTCGCTCCTTCGTTCTCATCGTCTCTCTTACCTGCCTGCTCCCTGAGATTTTTCATGCAGGCAGCAGGAGGCTCTACTCGACGTTCTGAGCGCGACGCAGGAGGAGCAGAGCAGAACGACGCGGGAGTTAGAGGAGGTTTGCGCCATGCAGCATGCCAAGATAGCAGAGCAGCAGGAGAGGGCTAGAGTGGCTGAGAACGATTGCCAGGACCTCTTGCTCCAGGTCTCCTCCTCCCTGTCCTCCGCCTCTTACCTCCTGCCAGATCTTGACCATGCAGGATGAGCTGGTAGATCATCAGGTCGTGAGCAGGCAGGAGGAGGAAGAGGCTCACAGGTAGGGGAGCTGTTCATCGCAGTGCACTCGACTCAAGAAGGAAGCAGAGACGCGAGGAGAATGAGCTCTATGCAGAAGAACGAGGAGCTGCTGCATCTGCTGGTAGGAGGAGGAGGAGGAGGAGGAGGACGAAGGAGGAGGAGGAGGAGGAGGAGGAGGAGGAGGAGGAGGAGGAGGACGAAGGAGGAGGAGGAGGAGGAGGAGGACCTGCTAATTGGACGAAGAGGAGGAGAGTAGGAGAAGCGGGAAGGAGGGCTAGGAAGAAGGACGAGGAGGTTGAGATAGAATGTTGCAATCGTGAGAAGGAGGAGAAGGAGCAGCAGCAGCAGCAGCAGCAGCAGCAGGTGCGAAGAAGAACGAAGCCGTCCCTCAAGCTCTTTACTGTGACAGATTGAAGACCTTCAGCGTCACCTGGACGAGGTTGACAAGCACAAAGAGGAGGCGCAGAAACTGGCTTATCTTCATCAGCTGGCAACTGAAGAGGTGGAGGAAGAGGAGGAGGGGAGGAGGAGGGGGAGAAGCTGGTCAAGTTAAGCTGATAAGGAAGAGAGGACAAGGGGGAACTTGAGGAGGAAGAAGGAAGGGAGGTAGATGGAGGAAGGAGGAGGAAGAAGAGAGGCGGAGGGGAGGGAGAGCGAGGGGAGGGGGGGAACGAAGCTCTTACTTGCCTGCTGCAGGTGCGGAGGGAGCAGAGGAAGTCAGAGGCTCTCAGCTTCGAGTACAAGGAGCAGCTAGAGTCCAGCAGGGAGACTTTCTTCGCCGAGGCACGAAGTGACCTCCTCCTCCTTCTCCCCTGCTGACTGCTGGTGAACAGCTCGAGGAGAGTGCGAGCACGATCGGAGAGCTGCAGAGGAAGAATGCTGGTCTGGAGACAGTGATAGGGAGGATGGTGAGGGAGAGAGAGGAGCATGAAGCTGAGACCTGGAATGCTCTCCTCTCCCTCTCCTCCTCCATCGAGGAGCAAGATAGAGGCATTCAGCTACTTTGCCAAACAGTCGCGTATAGGGTGATGTCCTTGTTCAAACCCCTCCTCCTCCTCTCCTCCTGTCCCCTTCTCGCCCTTCTCTTCCCTTCTCTCCTTTCCCTCCCTCCCTCCCCATCTTCTCCCTCCTGATCTCCTCCTCCCCTTCTCCTCCTTCCTCACGCCTTTCACCCCATCATGCATCGTTCACTTTCTCTCTCCTCCTTTCCTCCGTGCATGATCGCTCCTCCTCGTCTGCTCCTTCCCTTCCCATCCCCCCTCTTCAATGCTGCTGACCAAGAGCAAAGAGGATGGAGGAGGCAGCTACTCGCTCGCTCATGCGCGACATGTGGAGGCTCAGCGAGGAGGTGAGAGCATCGGGTGCCGTCCGCTGCTGATCCTCCTGCTCCCTCAGGCCTCAGAGCTCGTGAAGGTGTCGGGGCAGGAACTTGCAACAGGGCTGGAGGTGAGGAGGACGAGGAGGAGTACGAGGAGGACGAGGACGAGCAGGACGAAACGATTGAAGGGACGGAGAGAGGGATGGGGAGGACAGAAAGGTTGGGAAGGAACGAGAGATTGAGGGAGAAAGTATGGGAGGAGGGAGAGGAGTAGAGAAAATCCGTCATGATGATGGAGGTTGGACGAGCAGTGAAAGGAGAGGGAATAGAGGAAGGAGAAGAGAGGAAGAAACAGTGGAGGAGGAGGGTAGAGAGAAGGAGGGAGGAAGGGACGAGTAAGGGAGAGGGAGGAGGCTGACGTCAGTGTCTCAACTTCTTTTCAGTTCAGCGAACGAGTTGTGTCGAGAATGCGCCGGCTAGCAACAGATCTGGAAGGAAGGTAGAGGAGGA